AAAAAAAAAAAAAAAAAAGACTACGGAAAGCTCAAAATACCTCAACAATGTCTTTAAAAGTTTGGCTCAGACTTATAACAACTGTCAGGAACTGAACTCTGCCCTAACTTCCTGTGTCCTACCTGGTTATTGCAGTTCATACAGACAGAAAAGCATTGTTTGGAATGTCCTGATATGTCACTACACAATGAGTCAATAACACTTTGCAGTTCGATAGCACCTTTCAGTAGAGGAACTTGTGTTTCCCTGTGAACACTAAGTCATTCAGCTTCATAATCCCCCTGTGAAATGGGCAAATACAATTATGCCCCCTTTTTCGAGATGGGGAAACTGAGGCACACAGCAGATCAGAAACTTATCCAAAGCCATGTAACAAGTCCTTGGTTGAGTCAGGAATAGACCGAATCCAGGACCCCATGTTCTAACTACAAAGCCACACTCTCCAGGCCCTGAATTAACTTCCTAACACAAAGGTTTGGAGGTAAGGAATGATCTGCATCGTTTTTATTTGGGGGCGCAGCCAGACCTTCTCAGTTCAAATTTAACACACTGTGTGAGCAATGAGTACTAGAAGCACCCCGAGAACAGCTCATGAGAATGAGAGTGTTAAAACATTTTGAAAAAGTGCTTGTTTACCTAGTCGATTCTGTTGTTGTCTTCCTAATCTCTATCAACCTTCGTGCTTTCTTGCCCCAAGATGCAACTAGTCTGTATACTACGGACTGACTGAAATGCTTCTGTTTGAAATGACAAACCCATTTTTTAATAGAAATATTACAGAAAAGCATCAAGAACAAATGCCTGGGTTTAGGGGCCAGATTCTACCTGGAATTACCCTCTGGTAAATTTAGAGTAAATCCATTCCCATCCATATAGTTATCTGAAGTACCAAAAAGCCTTCAGGAAGGAATCTGGCCTTTCCTTTTCACTCTTACAAATACAAAGTGCCTGGGCTGAGTTGACTTTCTTCAAACATTTGTAAAAAACAACTGGTTTCAGGCAAAGTCCTTTAATGCCAAGCCCTAGAAACCCCTTGTAGTTCACCATCAGATTCCTACTTTTCCTTTCCTTCCTCCTTTAAAACAAGGGGATTAAACCAGAAATGTTGATAGACCCTTAACTACCAAGACACACATAGTGTCATTTTGATATATATGCCCCCACAAACAAGGAGGAGGAACTCATGAAAACCACAGCTTATCCAGCAGTGTCGCAATGCCTGTTCATAACAGGGACTAACTAACAAGCAGAGCATCCAAATTATAGCAACCATCCTGATGTTAAAATGATTTGTTATGAGTCATTCCTTCATGATTAAAAGGCATTGGATTTCTGCTGTGCATAAATTCCTCTCTCACTTCAATCTTATCTGTTTTGTTCCTTGACATCAATCTTTCCCCCTGTCCGCCATTTAAAAATAGGTTTTATTGTTTTTATATCCCAAACAGTAGGAATTTAACTCTGTTGTACTAAATGGATGCTCAGCTTCCTCTCTGAGCAATGGAACTCTATACATTAGCAGCTATTAACTTGAGTAGTGAGAGAGAAAAAAAATCAGCTTTAGATGAAACTGAATGTTTAATTTCTGTCCTGTTTGTGCTCAATTTATTTTCAAAACTGCTGCATTTTCTCCCTGTGAGATCTGAATGTTTTAACTTCGCAGGGAAACCCGAATGAAAATTGCAAAGATAATCAAAATACGTGTAAAGGAAGGAATGGCAACTTTGAAATATTCACAGCCAACACAATTTTGATTAAAGAAAGAACTCTGTTTTTAATAGTTTTTTGATCATTAAAAAAGTTTAAACCTGCATAGCAATCATTTCAAAAATAATTATTTAATGTTCCATAATGAAACTGTACACAACCTAGTCTTGAGCGACAGTAGCCCATGAGGTGGTTTGAATTAGTCCAGAGCAATGAATCCTTAAGGAGCCACAAGTCAGCTTTCCGTTTGCATGTACTTTTGTCCTTGGTACAGTCTGGCTCCAAGTGTCAGTAGATCTGCACTGGGCAGATAGTACAGTTCAGTCCCCTCAGCAGGACTCCTCAAAGTCGTTCAATGTCTCGATATTTCTTCCTCAGAATGGAGACCTGATCTTTAAAAAGGACAGGGTCAAGCCTCATCTGAGAATGGATCAGCGGCATATAGCCCAACCAGCTGGCAAAAGTGTTCATACAGCTCTGCCGCTGGGCAAAATGATCGGGGTCAGCCCAGCGGGAAGCCCTGGAAGTCTGGATGGAGAGAAAGGAAACAATAAGTCATAGTGTCACCCAAGCTGTGTAAATGGCAGGAGGTGCAGTGGTAATGACATGGTAGTATGAAGTGATGCCAGGACCGTATCACCTTGCTCTAAAACTTGAATATTCGGCTGAGATTTGGCAAACAATGTACATACTTGGTAGCTACCCTTCAAGTCGCATGGAATAAATCTGACCTCAGTAACAGCTGGTCAGCTGGCTGGCCCTTGCGAATAATGAAAACACAAAGTCTATTGG